GTGTGTGTGTGCGTCTGCGTGTGTGCGGGGGGGTGTGTGTGTGTGTGTGCGGGGGGTGCCCTCCCCCGTGCTTGTCAGCCGGCGCTGAGCCGTATTCCCCCGCCCTCGAAACGATTGCTCCAGTGCAGCCAAGCGGCGTGCTCTTCGTGCCCCCGTTACACCCGCGTCTGGTCAAGGTTGCCGATTTTTTGAGCCAGGTAGGAGATTTTGAATGGCGGGTGTAAGGAACCAAGGGCAGAACAAATTCGCGCGCGGCACAGTAGTTTTTCTTGGGCTCTTCTTGAGTGGAGTGGCGTTCCTGGTATTACCAGAATGCCTGACCATCACCTGCGACAGTACCGTTTTCAGCTGATAGCACGGTTGTTGATTTGCACTCTGCCCGGGTCTGACTTAAAACAAGGTATATGTGGCTTTACGCTACTTGAGTTTGAAACTGACGTTTGCAATGTCAGTATCAAGTTTATGAATGCTGCAGGTTTTTAAATAGGAGATAGTAAGTGAATGTTCAAAAAGTAAATTTCTGCTTATTAACAAAGGTGGTAGTTTTTTCAAGTGTGGAGAAAAGGTCGAAAGAATTTAAAAGAAATGAGAAAGAAAGTTTAACGTTTCTTATGGTTCACTAGCAGTAATAATATGAAAACACTGCATTTGTGACATCTTTCTTGAACAGTAGAGCTTCTGATTAACTGAGGTTAATCTGAGAAGTCTGATCTGCAGGCAGAGAGCATTTCTTAGATTGTTTTTTCCTTTCTCCGTGTGGTAAGACTACATAGAGGTGATGAAAGATAATCATGCCAAGACCAAGTTCTCATCTGTCAGTTGCACAATCAACTATGAGAAATGTTGTGACTGGAGATTAAGGATGTGTTGTAGCTACTACAATGCAACTTAGAAGTGGAAAGGATGGTGAAACACTTGTAAAAGGAATTGGCTTAAGCACAGCAAAGCCGGTTCCTTCCTTTCTATTCTGGACTTTGTCTTAACGACAAAATTCATGCACATGCTGTGAAGCATTCTTGGCCGTGGAGTTCTACAGGGACAGCTTATTAGTCCACAGCCTAGGTCCCTGTCATGTTTTACTTCAGGTCCTTTGCTTTCCTTATCTTGTCACTTTTCTAAATTTCTTTCCCCTTGCAAAAATGAAGCAAAACATTTGCATTTTGGTTTAGATGGATGGATAATATCTGTGTGTTAGGTAAGCATTTTGGGGGGTATTGTATTATAAAGGTAATTTCACAGAGTCAATTCTTGATGGTTTTAGCCCAGGCTGATGCTGACATTCTGCTTCAAAGTATTGCTTGTGGTGTTAGGGTTTTGGTTTGCTGCAGAACCTTCTAGATTTTTTTCTCTCCCCTCCCTAATAGTATTTGCATGCTTCTAAAAAGTAAGAGTTGGTTAAAGAGCTCCCTAACTGGTATTTCTGTTTCTAGTGTCATCTGTTACGTGGTTCAAAGTGTATCCAGCTGAGTAGCAATGGAGGACTGAAATCCTTTGGTCTTCAGGCTACTTCTAGGTCATACATCACTGTGATGGTCCCAGAAGTTTAATCTGCTGTTTACAGTTACAAATAGCAATACTGGCTTTTGGGCAGAACTGTGCACAGTTATGATGATGTCCCATTCACTGGAACTTGTAGTTGTGTCCATCCAGATCTCAAAGCCATTCCTCAAAAGGCGGCAGTAGTAAATAGTACGTAACAGTCAGGTAGTTCACTGGATAACAAGGCTTTGCCTTTGGAGATACTTCTTTCCTGTGGTGGTTGACTTGGACCTTATTCCTGAACCGCAGGTGCTGAAAGTAGGACTGGTGTTTGTTTTGACTTTACCTGTTGAGCTTCTGTTCTTTTGTAGTAAAAGAAACTTCTTTTTCTTAGCAGCAGCAGAGGGAGGAGTATTTAGAATTAACCTTTTAGACATTGTAAAATAGATATATATTCTATAGCAGTAATTCAAAGGTATCTAGGTTTTGATGAGTGAAAGCTTTAGTAGTCAAGTCAGAGAAAACATGTAATTGTGTGGTGCTGATCAGGATGAGGTATGTGTTTAAGGTTACAGCACTTTGAACAGGAACTTTGCATTGAAAAATACTTCTCCTTACAGGCAGTTCCAGGGCTGCATCTTTGCACTGGACAGGTGAGCGAGCTGTCAGTGTCCTCTTGCTTGGTCTCCTTCCTGCTGCCTACCTGTATCCTGGACCAGCCATGGACTATTCGCTGGCTGCAGCCCTCACTCTCCATGGCCACTGGTAAGCACAATATGTCCCTCAGAATTAAGCCTAAAGTCTGGTAGTCAGGATGGCTCCAAGCCTTAGGCCTTAAATCTGTGTATGGCAGTAAGTCTACTGACTTATTTCCTGATCTAGTATAAAACATCTGGAAAGAGATGCAAACAAAGTCCTTGCTCTCCAAGTTCTGTGACAGACAAGATCTTTGACAAGACTAGTTGTACCTTGGTCTTCCTTTGTCACTGTTCTCTCAGTCAGAAGGCAGGATACATATTGCTATTAAGGAATCCATAAACGTTTTCTAGTGTTGTTCTACACAGTGTCTTACTTTAGGGGGTCTTCCTTGCCACTGGCTATGTAGAATCTTGGACATTTTTATCTTGTAGAAGAATCAATGTTGCATGAACAGTGGGAACAGAAACAGGACAGATCTATATAAAACAAGTCGTTCTTCAAAGGTTCTGTGCTGTGGGCTGGCTTTTTTCATCTCAGTGGTGATGAGATTCTGCATAATAAAGAGTTCATAGTAAATACTCCACTAAAGAAGCTGAGACCTTGATCATTATTTTCTTGATTCCTGGGAAATGGATGCTTGCTCGTGTTCTTAAGTGTAGTTCTACTGTGATCTTTAATGCAAGTAGGCTAGACCAGTCTTGTTAGGAGTGGATCCAGCTGCATGGTTGCCCTAACTGGCAGCATTTATATTCTCGAGGTGATACTGGCCTGTAGTTCCTTGTCACAGGGATAATGCAGACGAGCAACTTCACGGTACTTTGGGATGCCAGGTTTTCTTAAATCTCATTTTTGCCCTTACGAAGTTTTATCAGGGATTCTTGCACTTATCTCACTGTGACTGGGAGCTTCTTCCTGAAGACCTCAAATCTGGTACAGAATTCATCTGAAATGTGGCTATCCTTGAACATATTCGGCAGAGCTCTTTCAAATATAAAATATATAAAGCTAAGCTTGCCTGCCTTTGGAGCATTTCTTCACCTGTTCGGTATGTGCATGTTGGTGCCATACTGGATGCGACCATGTGGGGAAATTCCAGGCAATGGAACAGGTTGTTGCAGGTTGATGTGTTGAAATGAGTTCTCTGGACGACATTTTGTGTCAATGCGTGTACATTTGATTCTTTAGTGAGTATCTCTTGTTGACAAAAGTGTCAGGATTGTTCATACTAGAAATCCCTTTTCCATAAACAGTGTGGGGACTTCTCCCTTGAGAAAAATGTCTTGTTGCTTGTGTGCAGCTCTGCTGGTAACTTTCATCAGAGTGAATTCCTCCACCACTTGGGTGGGTGTTTTGTTCTCTTTTTAAGCTGGAAAGTTTCTCCAGTATTAAACTCTTATTTTTGCAAAATACTGTCTTAAAAATCTAAAGGTGTTCCTATGTAGGAAAATTCCTCTCTTGTACTTTCACAGGTATTCAGTGCTAGAATACCTTTTTTGCTTGCCATAAAAGTTAATTTGATCACCATAACAGATCAGATGATCCCTCCAGTAGCTGATCAGGAACTGCAGAGGAGTATTGCATATATTTTTGAGGGACTTACTTTCACCTTTCACCATGTTTTCCCTTAGGAAATCTTGTCCTAAAATATGTTGACTTACTCAAGATACCTGAAGCCATGTTTATCTTGTACCGTTTTTGCTGGCTGGTAATGAAGATTTCTCTGCCCAGTGAAGCTGCTGTGTTGTGATCTAGATTGTGTGTGTCTACCACACATCCACTATTTCTCGCTAATTCCCTTCCTTGTTCTCAGGGCCACTGGTCTTCTCCCATGAGGACTTTGTGTGAATCAGTTAGTGTGCTGTGAAGCAACACACCAGTTTTTCTGAGAGGTCTTAGCGTGGCTTGGTCTTATTGTGCAGTGCAAAGAAAACATCTTAGGAAAATCCTTTATCAACACTACAGTTGAAGGACAGCCTGTGAATCCCAAGTTGGCTGTGCCTTATTTATCTGCTCTTTGGAAGGCTCAACGTGTGGGTAAGTGCTCCTTGCACTCCTGATCTTATTCCACTGTCCAGTTGTAAAAAACAGCTTGACAGTAATTGCCTTTCAGACTGCTTCCACTTTTTGCTTCTTTTCTGTGTATCCAGGGGTTCCTTGCTCCCCTCTTCTCACTTTGTACATCTTTATGGTATTAGAACCCCCCATCTAAGTGAAACTGTGCTCAGTGTTCATTTGTAGTGGCATCTGCTGCAGGACTTTGAACCTTGCTAGGTCACTAGTGCATCTTAAGCTGTGGGACATCGGTCCTTCAGCTTCAGGCTAGACCAAGGCAAAATCCTATGAAGAAAATTTCTGCGTTAAATGCAATGCTCTTGTTTTACCAAGTTGACATCTGTCATTGCAGAAAGCGTATATTGTACTTTTGGGAAGAGAACTACCACATTAGTTTAGTAGCATCCTCTGTCTTCCTGTTGCTGGAGAGTTCAAAGCCGGACAATAGTTAACTTCCAGTCTGACAGATCTAGAAAAAAAATCAGAGTATGCTAATTTTCTTGGTTGCCACTATTTTCTAATCTAAATACACTTCCTGGAGTCTGTTGTGCCTTTATGACAATGGCTGGTCCCAGAGCCACACCTTGCTGTTCAAGCAAAAAGGATATTTCCTTTGGTTGCCTTTCTTCAGTCCTTGGAAGTCAGATAAGCTGCCCACTGTTTCTTGATGGCAGAGCCTACAGATTCTACTGTTTGAAAGAGCTGTGCTCAACACCTTGTTTCCTCAGCACTATTAAGAAAACTTTGAGCCAATAAGTATATATTTTTTAATAGAATATTAATGGAATGTTGTTTTGTTTTTTAAATAGATGCATCTTCCTTTTGAGTGGGAACTGGGTGTTCTTTAGGAAAGGTTGATGATAGCAGGTGAAAAAAACGATGCGTTGGAGCCATCTTTGTAGAATGCTTACATAAACTGGGTGGATTTCAGTGAAGAACGCTCTTTCCTGACTTTGGCTTTTTTCTCCCTCTTATTCTGTAGGGGTCTTGGACAGGTTATAACTGACTACGTCCACGGAGATATACCCATTAAACTGGCCAATGCAGGTCTGTACGTACTGTCGGCCGTTACCTTCACTGGCCTCTGCTACTTTAACTATTACGATGTTGGTATCTGCAAGGCTGTTGCCATGCTCTGGAGCCTCTAAGATGCAACTGAGTCCCTGACAAACACGATTGTTCACTGCTGCCTCTGCTTCATCGTATTTTTACCAGCATGTTTAATCCAAAAGTGATAACCAAGAGTCCATGGTACGTACATACTGCAGCAAGTTCAGAGCCAGTCTTTTAGAAACAAATATCCATACTTTTTTGATTTATTGCAACAGCAGCAAAAATGTTAGAAAAGAAAAAGTAGATTTAAAGTGGATAATGTCCAGGTGAGAGTGAGTGGATTTAAGCTGCACTGTAAATTGGGAGGAATTAATTACATCGATGACAGACTTACATAGCTGAAGGTAACTTTCCTTGTAATGGCAGCTTTAATGAGTGTTTTTCAAAAATAACTGTTATTTGGTTTCCTATTTTGTAAAACAAACTTGACTTGTGGAAAATCGAACTGTTATTTCTGACGTCACAACAACTGAATTGTATGTAAGGCACACCCTGTAACTCTTTGGACCCTGAGAGTTGATGTAGAAAAGGGAGTGCTTTTTTCTTAATCCATATAATAAAGAATTTGCAGAAATTGTGTGTGCTTCTGAATGATTTTTACTACTTTTAGGTTACTTACAATGTTTTCTCTGAAAATAGTTTTGGGGTTTTTTTCTCTAAAATCAAGTTCAAATACTATTTCATACTGCTGTGTTACTGTTCATACTGTTACTCTGCATTACTTCATTTAGATGTTAGAAAACAAAATATTTTTACGAATATGTATTGTACTTAATACTTAGGGCTGACTTAGACTTCACTTAATACAAGAGTAACGCGTATTAGAAAATACAGCAATAATTGACTTAGAAGACTTTTGCAGGTTAATTTCAGGAGCCATAAATAACGTATGGCTTTCATAGTTTCCCTGGAACCTGTATGTTCATCTGTAACATTTTTGGGGGTTTGTTTTCTAAATAAACACTGATACACATTTTCCTGTGTGACTGAAAAGACAACAAACATACCCTTTCTGTCATAGTTTGACATAAGACTGAGACAGCATTCTTTTCTATGTCTTTGTTTTAGAGAGGAAAAATGAGATTGTTTTTTAACTTTCTTCTCTTTTTTCTGACTTTCATAGTAGTAAGGAGTGGTTAAATGTTTCCACATTCTTATTGTACTTCTGTGGTACTATTAATAGTAAGAGGAAGAAAATTGTGTGTTACCATCAGTCCGATTATGCAAAAAGCAGAATGAGTAAGTGGCTGTTTGAATGGGTCAAGACTTTCTGATTTGATTTCTTTTCTTTTTTTTTTTTTAAATCTGGATGGGATTATTTATTTACTTACTTATTCATGTAACCATGGAAATACCATACAGCTGGCCACTTTTGTAAATCTTGCAGTCAGAATTGAGGTGGGTTGCTTCTGTCTGATGTGGTCTGATACAGATATCAATGTAACATTCATTATTTTGTCATAGTGAGGAAGATGCATGTGCATGACTCATCGGTAAGTACGCAAGTACGATCTGAGCATGCTTTATAGAAAGTGTTAGACATTCCCTCTTTTGAGACTAAACACAAGACACATCTGTATGTAGTGTTTGTTTAAGATATCGTGTGGGAAATGAGTTATATAAGAGCTCTGGGAGTGCGGTCAGCCGGACCTACGATGTTGGGGGCTAGCAACTCTGAGACCAGTTCATTGTGGTTTTGAGGCAAGAATTAGAAGGTAATGACCATAGCTTTCTCAATGAATGGCATCTTGTGGTGGGTTGACCCTGGCTGGGGG